TCAATCGCTGAACATTTGTGTTCACCCACCCGGCCAATGAAAAGCGCAGTACCTTCGCGTTCACTCCTACCAGTAGAGTCCTAGTGCCCACCGTTCCCGCTGTTCTCGCTGCCGTTGCGAAGATTTCCTAGAATCCGCCGGAAGCCATGTTACAGTCACGTTCACTGCGGATGCTGGGGCGTGTCAGGAGGGATGGGTTTGGAGCGGCGCCAGTTCTGTCACTTGCCTGCTTCAACATTGGTGAAGAGTGAGCTGGCATCACACCAAACCCAGTTCTCTGACACGCCCCAGCATCCGCAGTGAACGTGACTGTAACATGGCTTCCGGCGGATTCTAGGAAATCTTCGCAACGGCAGCGAGAACAGCGGGAACGGTGGCGCATGCGCGACATTTGCACTAGGACTCTACTGGTAGGAGTGAACGCGAAGGTACTGCGCTTTTCATTGGCCGGGTGGGTGAACAGAAATGTTCAGCGATTGAACGCGAGTACCGCACCGAGAGGGGAGGGATAGCCAAACCTGGCCAGGTCCTGTCAAGCACGTGGTACTGAGTGTGCATGTCTCCAGGCTGAAGATGTGCTCTACGCTCACTTGCACGATGGATTCTCGCCGTGTTCGCGGTACTCAGCTGTGGAGATGTACCACTTTCAACTCTCAGAAGTGTCTAGGAATGAAGCTGGAGGGTTGTGGTAGCTGAGTGCAGTTTGTATCTCCACCTCTCTATCCGCAATGGGTGGCACTTGGGTAGATACTAAAGTCCCGCAGCGGCAATGTTGACAAGCTGCCGTAAATACGCTGCCGAACGCGATGAACAACCAAGCGTGAGAGGGCGCAGACGAGCAGTGCGTTTCGCTATAGTGAGACGTAACGCGCAAATTACGTGTTTGCGTGCTTTTGCCCATGGGTGGAGTCAAATGGCACCCAGCTATCGCTACTCTCAACCCTCATTTCGACGCTTTTTCGAGTGACGAAAGTAGCACACGTCGCAGTTCGGCGGGGGGGAGGGATGTCGTACTACCATTGCTTCGCTGGTTCCGGTTTACAAGTCTCTGGCAAACCTTGTGAACTCTTGTGAAGCTGGAGCAAGGTCGTCAAGCATCATGGTAAAACCTGTCAACTCGAGAGAGGCTGTCTAGATAGGTCGACACGTCGATGGGAAGTAGCAAAAGTGCAAAATGTCCCCCCCCGCCTCCCGTCGTCGAACTGCGCCGTAGCATTCTTCTGCAATTGCGGACACATTCAACTTGCATATGGTAAGTATCGGGATCCTATGTAAGCATATCGCGTATATAAACGCGGGTGGCACGACAATCCCTAAGACGTGTATGACAGCGGGCGGGGCATGCGCCGAAAGTTGGCGGTGTCGCAGAAGAAAACTCATAACTCGCTTCCAGAGCAGCCCAGAGATGGGGAAAAGTGGAATAAGGTTAGCAAGGGTTGTCAGACTAATTAGGGAGACATACCCGAAATGGGCAGGGCGTACTTGAGATAGGCGGTGCTTCCCACAAAATTCATTAACTCGGTTCCCGAAAGAGCACTCCAGGACACTGCTAAAAAGTGGATGGTGGTCGGAGGGATCACTGGTTAATAATATGCCACATGACAGAATTCGTCGCCTCTGCGCACGCCTTTCCAAGGAAGGTATCCTTATTACCGCCCTATCAAGCTGCAACATACCGACCCGGTAAGATCAATGCTTGCTCATTTCGCTTCATTTGCGAAGCACTATATGAAGCGACTGCAGTGCTGCATGGATATATGAAATGCAACCGTGTCTACCGTAGCGATTATTGGCATGATGCCAACGGGAAACTCATCCGAAATCGCTTTCTGATGGTGAGTCGTGTAACAAAGGCTTTTTTTTGCAGGTTTTTGATCGTTTCACTTTGGGGTTTTTCGCCATTTCTCCCACTATATAGCACCCCTGTGAGCATTTTAGACTTACCA